TGCTGCCCCCACATGAGACACAGCCCCCCTTGCTACCCTCACATGAGCCATAGCGCCCCTTGGTACCCTCACAGGAACCACAGAGCCCCTTGCAGCCCCCACACGAGCCACAGCTGGAGCAGGAACAGGCTGGCACACAGCAGCACACAGGCTTGCAGCAGCAGACGGGCACACAACAGCTGGAGCCACAGCCCCCACAGCCCCCACAGCCTCCGGAACAGCCACAGCTGCCCATGATTCTGGTGGGTTCAGGATGGGTTTGGTCAGAGGAGCAAGTAGAGAGGAAGGTGTTCAGGTGTGGAGTCTTCTGAGCCAGTCGCCCTTATATCCCTGCCGTGGGATCTGAGTGGGCTCATATCGACTTCCTTCTGCCTGCTTAAGCCATTTATCCTGAGTCCTGGTGTGTGTGTGTGTGTGTGTGTGTGTGTGTGTGTGTGTGTGTGTGTGTGTGTTTTCCTGCTCCATAGCCTCCCATTAGCGCTAACATCCCCTTTCTCAGGTTTCTAAATTTGGTCTCTTCCCAAATATTTGGTTCATATTAATAGAAATTCATTTCTGGTTTCTTGGCTTTTCTGGGATTTTTCTAGGGTTGGGACACCTGTCAGTTCTTAGATGTGTGTTATTCTCTCTTCCTCACTTCAAATGAAGCTCAGGCCCTCCCTTACATTCAGCTTCCTTTGGCCCAGGTGCCTGTTCTCCCCAGGAGGGCCAAACAACAGGTAGGCTGATGTAAAGAGGAGGTGACCAGGGGTGGATTATCCAATAGGCAAGGTAAGCACGGTGCTTACCTTGCTTACCAGATCACCTGTAGTGAACAATTTCACACTTTTTTTTTTTAACCACATCAAAGATTCTGCTTCTATGTATGGGCTGGCATCTGTCTCTCTCCCAACCCCACAGCACCTTCCTACAAAATCAAAGCCTCTTTTCAAATTTACAGTCCCTGACAGGGACAGACTACCCAGTAAGCAAGGTAATCATGGGTGTGCTTGAAATTTCAATTTCACATGAAATTGGTCACTACAGATTAGTAAGTAAGCACAAGTAAGCCTGTGCTGACCTTGCTTACTGGGTAATTCACCCCCAGAGGTGTCCCATGTTCAGTCCTAAACCCTAGAATCCCTGCCTTTATAGATTATTGTCTTCTAATCTTAATTTCAAAATAAACTTTCGGGGATACTTTACTACTAATTTGTTACTTTAAACTAATTTTTATTTCTTATCAACATAATAAACATGTAATTTTAAAAGACAAATAGCACCAGAAATCATATAATGAAAATCAGCTGTTTCAACGGCTGCCTTTTAGTACTTTTTAGTCTCTTTCTGTAGAGGGAGCCACTTCAGCATTGTAGCATTTTCTTCTGGTGTTTACCATATTTTAAAGCAGTATATCATCGTGTCAATTGAAGAGGAATGGCATTGCAGTCATCGTCAAAAAGAACAGTTCAAGATTTATCCTGAAGTACATCACTGTCAGTGATAGGATAATATCCATACACCCACAAGGAAGACCAGTTAATACGACTATTATTCAAATTTATGCATAAACCACTAAGGCCAAAGATGAAGAAATTGAAGATTTTTACCAATTTCTGCAGTCTGAAATTGATCAAACTTGCAATCAGGACGCATTGATAATTACTGGTGATTGGAATGTGAAAGTTGGAAACAAAGAAGAGGGATTGGTAGCTGGAAAACATGGCCTTGGTGATAGAAATGATGCTGGAGGTCGCATGATAGAATTTTGCAAGACCAACGACTTCTTCATTGCAGACACCTTTTTTCAACAATGTAAACGGCGACTATACATGTGGACCTTGCCAGATGGAATATACAGGAATCTAATCTACTACGTCTGTGGAAAGAGATGATGGAAAAGCTCAATATCATCAGTCAGAACAAGGCCAGGGATCGACTGTGGAACAGACCATCAATTGCTCTTGTGCAAGTTCAAGTTGAAACTGAAGAAAATTAGAACAAGTCCACAAGCGCCAGAGTAAGACCTTGAGTATATCCCACCTGAATTTAGAGACCATCTCAAGAATAGATTTGAACCACTGAACACCAATGACCCAAGACCACAGGAGTTGTGGAATGACATCGAGGACATTATATATGAAGAAAGAAAGAGGTCATTAAAAAGATAGGAAAGAAAGAAAAGACCAAAATAGATGTCAGAAGAGCCTCTGAAAGTTGCTCTTGAACATCGAGTAGCTAAAGCTAAAGGAAGAAATGATGAAGTAAAAGAGCTGAACGGAAGATTTCAAAGTGTGGCTTAAGAAGACACAGAAAGTATCATAACAAAATATGCAAAGACCTGGAGATAGAAAACCAAAAGGGAAGAACACTCTCAGCATTTCTCAAGCTGAAAGAACTGAAGGAAAAATCAAGCCTCGAGTTGCAATATTGAAGGATTTTACAGGGAAAATACTAAAAGATGTAGGAAGCATCAAAAGAAGATGGAAGGAATACACAGAGTCACTGTACCAAAAAGAATTGGTTGACATTCACCCATTTCAGGAGGTAGCATATGATCAGGAACCGATGGTACTGAAGGAGGAGGTCCAAGCCACACTGAAGGCACTGGGGAGAATGAAGGCTCCAGGAATTGATGAAATACCAACTGAGATGTTTCAACAAACCACTGCAGCTCTGGAAGTGCTTACTGGTCTATGCCAAGAAATTTGGAAGACAGCTGCCTGGCCAACTGACTGGAAGAGATCCAAATTTGTGCCCATTTCAAAGAAAGATGATCGAACAGAATGCAGAAATTATCGAACAGTATCATTAACATCACACACAAGCAAAATTTTGCTGAAGATCATTCAAAAGCAGTTGCAGAAGCGCATCAACAGGGAACTGCCAGAAATTCAAGCAGGATTCAGAAGAGGATGTGCAACTAAGCATATCATTGCTGATCTCAGATGGATCCTAGCTGAAAGCAGAGAATACCATAAAGATGTTTACCTGTGTTTTATTGACTATGCAAAGGCATTCGACTGTGTAGATCATAACAAATTATGGATAACACTGTGAAGAATGAGAATTCCAGACACTTAATTGTGCTTATGGGTCAAGAGGCAGTTGTTTGAACAGAACAAGGTGATACTTTGTGGTTTAAACTCAGGAACAGTGTGCAGATGACACAACCTTGCTTGCTGAAAGAGAAGAGGACTTGAAGCACTTACTGATGAAGATCAAAGACTACAGCCTTCAGTATGGTCCTCAACATAAAGAAAACAAAAATCCTCACAACTGGACCAATAAGCAACACCATGATAAACAGAGAAAAGATTGAAGTTGTCAAGGATTTCATTTT